CTCTCCCTCGTTTTTTATTCGATGTTCCGCTAGTACGATATTTAGAGAGAAGACGCGGAGATGTTGAAAAGGTGAAGAAGGTAGAGAAGAGGATATTTAGAGAAGCTTGTTTAAAATTGAAACGGTTCCTCCGAAGTAGGTGGAAGTTTGGAAATTTTCCTGTGCCGTGGCTCTCGGCCATTCGGCAAAAATGTACCAGCAGTTTGCATAAATATCGACATTCTTGCTGCAACGAAATTCGATTCGAATTTTCCTTTTCTCCGAGCGAAACTCTCTCCCGGGGAAAATTGTGCGTTCTCGCGGCCGAGAAGATCGCCGAAATGTGTGTTTCGTTCGGAGGTTTACCGCGAGGAAGAAAGCTCGCACCCGAAAAAGTCGCGACGCGATAACGCGAATAATTTCCTGTATTTTGCGTGTGCGGGGAAAAAGATTTGGAGAATTGCACGTTGGAAACGGGCTGTGCCTGTCTTTTGCGCGAAGATTTACGCGGGAAGTCTCGGCACAATGAAATGGAAACAAACGCGAGAGCGGCGGCGTATAATGCAAAACCGCGAGCCATTTGTCCGGTGAAACAAACGTCGGGACAAAACTGTCGATTAACAAAACTGTAACGCGCGTCGATTAATTACAATCGGCTGTTTCATCGAGCGGGCGAAATTGCACGGGACGCGATCGAATGCACCGTCGCGAATTAATTCGTTTCCGACGCAAGCATCCAGATTACGTAGCCAATCGACTCGGACGTTATCGAGCCGGTCCGATAATTGATAGTTAATAATTTTCGTCGCGCGGTTTTAAACTGATCCTCTCGTTTCGAATGACGAAAATATTGTGGAAATAATGCGGTACGTGTACTGTCGTTTTTGTTCATTTTTTTGCGAGATAGGAGTGATTGCAGTGACTCAACGCAATGCAGAGATAACTCGTAATAGCAAAACGACGACTGTGAGACAACTCTGAGATAGTTAAGATGAATCCAGCGACTCTGAAACGACTGTAACCACTCTAAAATCAATCTCACAGTGGTGGTCTTTATGCAAAATAATTTTTATTTCGCTTTCCTTCCTTTTTCGGGGTTTTTACCGAATATGGTCGTAACACACACACGCTCATTTATTCGTGGTAAAAAATAATCAATATATCAACGAGGCTTATGCATTATCAAGGATTTTTGCATTATCATGCTTCTCAACCCTTTCATGATCGAATTATCTCCTTTTCTAAGCTTATAATCCGTCTGTCGATCTGTAATGGACAGATATTAAATTGAATCACTTTTTGTGAGAGTGCTCAAGTGGTATTGATGCGTCCCATCGGTGACCAAAGGGTTAAAACTGCATCGAAAAATAACGAAGACGTTCCGACGATGGTACAGTGAAATATTATTGTAATAATAATAGTTGGTACAAACATTTCTGGAGAATTTTATAAGAATTATAAATGAAATTCTGCATCGTCGACTAGGAAAAGTGTTTAATGACGACGACGCTGCTTCGTTCGTGCTGGTTAAGCAAGAAAACTACCGTGGCTGGCCTCTTAACGAGGCATTCTTTGTATATATGTATATACCACGTTACGCTCTTGCACGAGACTCGTCATCGGTAACTTTATAATTTTCCATAGTCGTGCTACTGTGCATTTATTTCTCCGCTTTCTGGAAAATTGTCCAGAGGCTCCTTTACCATTTTCTCTAACGCGTGTGTGTGCTTACTTACGATTGAAACTCACAATTAAATAGTCCATATTGCAGAATTAAGAAAATTTTTAAAAAAACCCCAAGATTCTAAGTATTCGAGCAATTTTCTTATTCCAACAAATTCGTCCAATTGAAACATTTCATACAATACACCCAGAAACTGGAAGAACTTAAATTATTCAACGTTAAAAAAAAGACAGATACTTAAATGTAACAGGTAAATAAATTTAATTGAAAAATTTAGGAAATGATTGTTGCTCGGGAGATAGAAAATATCTTCAAGAAGATTAAGGTAAAATTTCTGTGGAAATAAATTAGCGTGAATTGCCCCTTATCGTAGAAAAAAGCCTGCAATCTGAAGCCAGAAGGGTAACTATAGCCGCCAATCCAGACTTAGAAGGAAAAATGGCGAACAGCGGCGGTCGTAGAACCAGGACCACCGTCTTGATAAAGGAGTTAAACCGGCTTAATTACCGCGTTACTCGGTTTAAACTAATTACGCGTTTGCCGACGACCACAAATTCTCGAGGCGCAAGCTAGCGGGCCGGCATTGTGGCCGAATCCGCGGAGGGACCCTTCTTTATTATGCCGCCATAACCGCCCGTAATTCTGCGCGCGGCCGTTTATACCGCAGCTTCGCGTTGCAACTGTTGATTCGAGCTGACTAATCGACGAGCCGGCTAGAGGATTCGAGCTGACACCAACTGAGGAAGCACTTTTTTTCAGGAAATTGGGGTTTAGGGTTGAAAAAGTGGAATAATTGAGAAATTTGTTAAATGGACTTATCGGTGGGAAATAGATAAGAATGGTAATCGAGGCTTTAGGGTTAGAATTATGTTCACCGATTTTTGAAAGCATCTTTTCCTTTATGTTTTTTCGGGAGATTAGAGTTAAAGATTGAAAAAGTGTAACGACTGAGAGATTTACTATTTCGATTCATCAATAGAAAATGGATAAAAATGGTAATCGAGGCTTTAGGGTTTGAATCGTGTCCAATGATGTTGGAAAGCATTTGTTTCTTTATTTTTTTTTTTTTTTTTAGAGATAAGGAACGAAAGAGTGAAATGATTCGGAAATTTACTGTTTCTAGTTGTCACTGGAAAATAGATAAAAATGATAATCGAGGCTTTAGGGTTTCAATAATGTGCAACGACTTTCGAAAGCATCTTTTTCTTTATTTTTTGTTTGGAGATTAGAGCTAAGGATTGAAAAAGTGTAACGATTGAGAAGTTTACCGTTTCGAGTTATCACTGAAAAATAGATAAAAATGATAAAGTGTTCAGTGATTGTTCAAAGATTCAGAGTTTAAAAAACACACTGACAGCTCTCAAACCTCTCATTTCCATAGAAACGTCCAATTAAAAATCTACAAAATTTACAAAATTAACTTCACAAATCCCAAAAAATATAATTTCCAACACCCGGAGTTTATTTTCGACACAGACCCCGTGAAACACGGTCGACGAAACTGATTACTCGCTTCAACCCCGTCTTACCCCTTTCCCTTTCATTCGCCGCGCCTGTTTCTCTCCCCTCGGGAATGTCTCGCGTCGGGGACATTTTTCGCGGCCGCGTTAAGGAAACGTTCTAAGCAGAGGAAAATTTAACGGCTCCGGCCTGGAGTGTAATATTATAAAATTATAATTAACATGGCCGGTCGCGTTGGTGCACGCACGCTAAACGCATTATAATAGTATTTCAGTTTACGAGACACCCTTTTCACGGGACGTGCAACATTGTTGCACTCCGCGGCGCAGCCTGCGCGAACCTTACAATCTGGTAATTTCGTGTTATGACGATGCAGTGCTTAACGGTTATGAACCTCTCTCTCTCTCTCTCTATGCGTTACGGAAATTCCGGAATTTTTTCCCCCACTGGGAAAATGACGGGAAATTTTGACAATGTTCTCTCTCCAATGTTCAACACGCTACAGCGACTTTATCGATGTTATTACACGGTACGAAACGAGACACGCTGGAATAATGACTAAATTTATTTTCTAACGAAAGACACTGTAGCTACGCCCATGAATACTGTAAGCCCTCCGCTAAGGCCGTGCGAGTCTGGCTATGGTCAGTTCTCGCATCTGGTAGCCAGATTCGCACGGGTCAGGGTTTTTCCTGACCAGCCAACTCTCGCCAGAAAGTCTTTGTTACGCCTTCTTTGTTACGCGCGCTTTTCCGCCCGCGCTTTTCGGTAGCGCGGCTTGCTCCCTGTCCTTGTCTAAGGACAGGGGCATATACCCCGAAAGACCGGGGGAAACAAGACGGTCGAAAAGGACGATCGGCAGAACGTCGTGCTGTTCGTGCTATTTCTTGTATTCATCGCTTTTACTTGCGCCAGCGAGTAAGGTTCACGCGTGCCGCGCCTAAGTAAAACGAGGTTTGAAAGTGTGTAGAGTACGGCTTTATTGACCTTCGTCTCTCCTACCCTTCTCCTCAATACGATTTCTTGTAAACTTTTTATAGTTTGGAAGTGACGTGGTGCAAATGATTACTCGCAAAGTGGATAACAAAAACATATTTATTTAAACGTAATGCTTAAACTAATTTCAAATGTAAACTATATGATGCGCGTGCAGAGGATCTGCGACAAAAGAGCCTTGTCCTTTTTTCGGGGCTCCCACAAGTAGCCCCTTTTCCCTGGGAAAGTCCCAGGAAGTGGTGGCGCGGGCCTGCATTGCCGAGGCAATACTCTTGTCTTGGAGGACGAAGAAACTCGGAAATTCTTCGCCTCGAGGGCCAAGAGTCGCCAGGCCTAAGTGGCGATATTTTCCAGTGGAGTACAGTGTGTTTTTATTATCTTTAATATTTCAATAGGATATTCAATTATTATAGTTTAGTAGAATAATTTTCTGTAAGCTTCTTATATTCGAATTACACGTTTTTCCTATCAAACAAGAATGGTAATCTCTTAATTATCTCTGCGCGATATAATCACCCTGGCTTATATAGTAGAAAAAATTTCATTAATGGAAGATTCTAATCGTGAATTAATATACCATCGTGAAAACAACGAGTATGTGCTTTTGTACATATAATTTCCCCATGCAAGAAAGATCGGTAAAGAAAATAGGGGGAAAAAGAAGGTGAAGTAAAAGGAAGAAAAATGTAACAAAGGCTCGAACCGGTGGTTTTGTCCACCGAGGTATTTTAATATCGTTCTACTTGATACGCTGGAAAACGAAGTTATGAAAATAGAGAAGAGGGAGAAAACAGCAGGGAAATGCACTCGAGCAATTAAAGTGTTGCAAACAGAGAACAGTTTCATTTAACGACGCGCTCGTCCCCCCTCTTTGTTGCAGATGTCAAGAATGTCCTGTGGTGAAGCCGACGTTCCTTTGCGGAAACGATAATCGCACGTACAGCTCGCCATGCCGACTGGAATACCACAATTGCATCCACCGCACGCCAGTTCGCATCGCCTGCAAAGGCTTCTGTCCCTGCAAAGGTGAGGATCGCGTGTACCTGTCCGCGGAATCGTTCTATCAAATGTTTCCAAAGTAGATTCGACGTAGCGTGAAGTACTCGCTTCGAACGAAGTCCGGTGGAGATTGAAAATTCGATGCAGATACCTTTCGAGGGAAATTTAGCATGCGAATCGTCTCGAGGAATAATTTCTTTCATTTGGAAAATTACTTTAGTGAAAGAATTCCATCCACGATTCTGTAAATTTTGAAGATTTGATATCGCGTGAAGTCTCTTTTCGAAATTAGCCTGGAAATTATCTTGAGAAAGAATTTTTTTCTTAATTTGGAAAATTAGTGAAAGAATTCCGCGATTTTATAAATTTTGAAGATTTGATATCGCGCCAAGTCTCTTTTCGAAATTAGCCTGCAAATCATCTCGAGAAAAAATTGTTTTATACTCGGAAGATTACTTTAGTGAAAAAGAATTGCACGATTTTAGAAATTTCGAAGATTCGATATCGCGTAAAGTCTCGCGTAGAACGAAGCCGCTTTGAAAGTGCCATGCGGATAGTTTTGGAAGAAAATTTAGCCTGTTGGACAGAAATTTCCAAGCTGTAACGTGGAATTTTGTTTAATCCGGCGGAAATCCCTTCGACACTCGCAGAGTTGTACGATTTGTAAAAATTTCAAGGGAACGTAAATTTCCACGAAGGTGGAAAATTTTGCAAAATTTTATCTTTCACGGTTACTTCGGTGAATGCAGAAATTCACACGGGATCCTTCTATCGGCGATAAAACGAAAATTAGAAGACTTCCGCGAAATAATACCGAACCAGTAAAATTCTACAGTTGTATCAGCGTTGAAAAAGTCTTCGTACATCGATTTGCATAATGTACCTTAATAAATTTCAGCAGAAAAGAGAAAAAAAAAGAATACTTCCATCACAGAGAGAAATTTCCTGGAATTCTGAAGTAAAAGAAATTTACAGTTCCTGTAGCCCCGAAGAGAATCGCGTATTTCAATCTTTACAGTGCACATTGTTCCTCTTATATTCGAAATCTTTCTACTTGAATCTCTATAAAATGCTAGAATTTACAAAAAGTGTTCCCTCGATCGAAAGATAACACGGAGCAAATTAGGCGAAAAAAGATATACTCCCGTGAAATCTGAAGTTAGCAGAACTTTCACAGTTCTTACAGTCTTGAAGAAAATCGCGTGTGGGAAAAATTTACGAGTTTGCACCCTGGTCTAGTCGCGTGCAACCAACTATTCAGGTCAACCTCGTCTCTCCCAGGATCTGCTTTAAAATACTTATCGAAGTACCAGGAATATTTCAAATTTCTCACCCGATAGATCCTTCCCCTGTTCGAGAGCTGCACTTCATTACTTTAACTCCATTTCCAATCACTCGCCATTAGCCCCGAATTAACATAATGAAACGAGCCTTTCTCCGAGATGTTCCACGGGGAGAGAGGAAGAAAAAGAAAGAAAAATCGTACGAAAGATAGCTGATAACGTTGAGCTTGCATCCTTCTCCGATGAGAACAAGCGAATGTAGGCCAAGCAAACTTGATTTATTATCCGTAAAGCCGGTTTGATTTATCGTCGACAGCTTTTGAGAGGCGAATTAATGGTTCCACGGTCCTCCTTCGTATGGCGTATCGCTATTTCGAAGTCTCCCGTCGATATCGAAACAGAAACGTTCGGTCGAGGATTCTCTATCTCTAATTTCGTTGGAATTTCTAACCTAATTTGCAAATAGCTGTTTTCTTCTGTTCTTCAAGCTCCCATCTTACACGATTAACCCTGCAAAAATTGCAAAATTTTCTTTCACTCTTCGTATTTCGCTGTCCTTTCTATTCTCTCGCTAAAACGTAAGTGACAGTATTCTAGATAAATGAGAAACTTATTTCGACAATCCTGAAGATAATTATGAAAAATTCATTTGATTATTTTTCGTGTATCAAGTTGAGAAGAAGTGCGAGCATTGTTAAAAAGTTCAAGTTTGTAGAGACAGTAGAGAAAGGGTTGCAGGAACGTTCAGTTACCCTAACGAACCGCCGCTAATCCCGAATTCACGGGCCCCGTTTTCTGATTTTACACGTGGAATTAATTCGTTAGTTTATTCATAGTCGTCGACTACTCAGTTTAACAATGGTACCGTGTTTGCGTCTCTCCAGGCTGGTCCATGGGACAAGCACACCCACTATGAATATTCATAATTGCCTGTTAGAACAATAATGTCGCTGTTAAAGCGCATGAGGCCCCGCGTCTCCTGGATATTTCCGGCTGAACCTCTAGAAAGAGGGAGACACAGGGAACACTCCTGCTTGAGGAATTTAGGGTTCGTCTTAAAATCACCTAACTTAACCCTTTACACTCCACTCGAAATATTCATCTGTTGAATAAAAATTGCTTCCAATTTAACATTTATTATAACACACGTTTTGCGAGTCGATCGAATAATCGATTACCGCGAAATTATGCAAGAAAATCTTCGACGTATGTTTGTATTATGCCCGGCAGGAGTAGCGAGATCGACGATTGCTCGAAACCCGTGATCGCAATTGAAATCATTTATTCGGTGAATAAATTCGACGTGCTTAAACATTCACTCTCTTTTCTCTTGGTTTTTGTTTTTCGCGAATACCGAAAAACACTGTCGTTAGTTAATTACAAGCGCGAATAAACGCAGACCGATTAATAAAGTCGCGTGCGATGGTCCGGCGCATAAAATATTCGCGAGGTGAGCGCGTGTGTAAATGTCGGCAATCGTGTTTTATCGCTCGGCGGTCCTCGAATGTCGCCGCGTTTGTTTAAAAATCATTGGAAAAGCCTGTCGGCGTGCGGCGAGTGCAAATGCTAATTTGTTTACACGCGGTTAATGAGTTTCCGTTTCGAACGAATCTACCAAAATTTCTCTCTCTCTCTTTCTTTCGGCGAAACAAGTTTCACGTCGTAACCAGTTTTCCAGCAATTTTCCGTAATTTTCCATAACGTGTATATAAACCGGAGAATCCATTTCGTCCGGGGGCTGTCGCGAAACAATGAACTCGATTCCGAGCACCGTTTGATAGACATTCGAAGCGAAATTGGAAACCATACGAATTGCATTGCAGCACAGCAAGGAACGAACGCCGCGGTTTCACGAGAAAGGTTCAACTGCTGGCTGCCTGGGCTGTCGAATTGCTAGAATCGCGCGATTTATCACCGAGCCCGGCCTGCACTCTCTCTCTCTCTCTCGTGTTAACGAACCGAACTGTATCGAACTTTCGGGGGGGAGAACAAGCTGTACAGCTTTGTTAATTATTAATTCGACGAATTTTCCAGCGGCTGATCTACGCGCGCATAACAAAAAGATGCAGATGCAACGTCAGAAATCACTTTCAGGAAAGATGTCGAGGAATCGGGATATCACGCTGACCCCCCATGTATTCAACTATGACAATCATCATTACCAATACCTGAAGTACACCAAACGTGCCAAGGTAAGTCCAATTTTGTTGAACAATTTTTTCTTTCCTGATTCAATCGATTGTTCAGATGGTCAAAGAAAAAGGCGTGGAATCTGTGGAGTATAGTGTCTCTAAAATGAACTAGTTACTCAAACTAACTTGCTGATACACTAAAGTAACGTTTGTTACTTTGTTAGACTAGAAGTCACCATCTTAACCCTTTACACCCTACTGGCGGCAATAAAGCAGACTAACGGAAGAGACCTAAGTATCTCTAAAATTAATTAATTAGGTTTGTCACTTTGCTGAAAATTTCGTATAAGGAAGAAGTTCTAATTCGTGGCTGTTGCTGATATAAAAAAATTCAGAGTTACTCTGCTAAATACTGGAAGTCGCCTTAACCATTTCTTAATCTGCTAGAGCAGATTAACAAGAAAGATATAGGGGAGAGTCGTGCAGTACCGGCCAACGTAATGCTGTTAGTTGACTGCACTATTGATGAAAAAACAAATGAATACTATAGCCCTGAGCAACGTATTCCGGCGACGTTCTTTTCTCTTCAGTATTACCAGAGTTCTAAGACGTAATTGTATCGTGAATAAACGTCGTTTTATTTGCTAAATAATCGAGCTGTGGAGCTAACAGTGTGTGTGACGTCCTTTACCTGTGATATTTGTAGACGTGCCTAAATAAAAGTTCTATTCTATTTTTAAACGATTTTTGCTAACATTATTTATTACTTAGACCTTAAAATCTACCAACTAAGTAGCTGGCCGGTACTGTACGACAATTTTTCGTTCGCTGTAAATTACAACTTTTCTTTCTGAGAAAATTTATTTATTTTACTAGAAATTTCATTTTTACCAACATTAGCCCAAGTTATAGTACAAAATCTTAGAGTGGCCGGTACTGCACGACTCTCCCCTAAAAAACTTCAGGAACATTCGATGGTTTTTTCTTTTCAAAAGTCTAACAGCAGAAGTTGATAAAAATTGTCATAGTGCAAAGGGTTGAATAAAAATTCTTCCTATATGTGTAATCATTCGTGCAACTTTTATCCTACCAAAGGATTTTCTAAAGAATTCTGAATCACTCCCCTTCGTTACATAAATCACACTTTACAGCTTAATCAGAAAAGATTCCCAGCACCTGGCGATAAAAGAGAACACGGTTAATTAACGTGATCGCGGCAACAAAACGGTATCACGATATCTCTAGCCGTACCTATAAGCCGACACTCTGGCCATTAAACTAACATAGATCACTTAGAACTCCCATTACCCCGGTACAACGCACTAACGCAACATCTCCTCTGCACTTAGCAACTAATAATCGAGGCCTGGTGATCAAAAGTTTCCGAAACACCCACGGAACCCGAGAAATTTTAATTACGACACATTCTACCGGGGAGAGATTCACGCGCCTCTTCCTCGTTGTAATAACGCACCACCCTAATAAACAGCCGTGTTTTATCGTTTTCGGTCGACGGTTGCTGCTCCGGGTATATTGATCGATTAACGTTTTAATCGTTTCATCGAGGCGATCTAACGTCGGTCTCGTGACGCAAACAGGGGAAACTAGAGGCCTCGATAACGCCCGGATAAAACCGCGAGAAACAGGAAACAGAAGCGTTGAACAGTCAGCAATTCGAGATTCTGCTGAATCGCGTCGCTGGGGACGCGAGTTTTCCCGCGAATCGTCCCGTCGATCGGGATTTCAAGGGTCGTTCGCACCGGAATCTTGCACTCGCCGCGAAACACGGTCTTCCTTGTCTCACCGCGAGGATATCGAAGGAAATTGGAAAATTTGTTATCTGCAGTTTCCCACGAATTTACTTAAAATTGTCACACAACGTCGATGCTGTCGTTCCGAAAGTTAGGAAACTTGGAATTTTTCAACACTGAAAATTCGATTAGCTCTACTCTCCTTTTTTTTCGGTGAAAAAACACAACCTCGTAGGGAAGAATTTTCGGCGATGGAAAGTTGATTGGCTGCTTTCCTATCGAAGGAGATTGCCCGCAAGTGGAGAAGTTCGATTTGCCATTTTTCAGTGTTAAAAAGTGCTCTCCCGAGGCGAACACTTTTTCTCGATAAAAATTCCCATTATCCTTTTTTTCTCCCCCTTTAAAATATTCGCCTAACGGATAAATACGATAAACAAAATTCCTCCTACCTACGAATAATAAAAATAAAATCCCGAAATAAAGTGCTAATTAAAATCGAATTTTTCTCCTAATCTCGCGACGATAAACGTTTCCAGCGTTCTCTGGCCGCTTTGTCACCGGTCCGAGAGGAAAGCCATTTCGAAATAACGCTCGACTTCACTCCCTCGTCCGATTCGGTTGAAATATTCGCGGCGTCGTTTTGATTTACAATCGTTAATTCAATCGTCGCGTAAACAGTTATGGTTTCGTTTATTCGTCGTCGTCTGGGCTTGTTGCAGGGGGGAGGGAGGAGGAGAGAGGGTTTGGCAAAACGCAGGATCGCGACCTGAATATTTCAACCAGGGCCAGGAGGGTTTTAAACGGCCGCCATTACTATTCGTATTAGGGGCTATGAATTATTTAAGTTGGAATCACAGATTCGCTAGATGAACAGCATACTGTCAGGCTAAATTGCAAAATAAATCTGGACCGAGGGGGTTAAATCGCTTTCCATTTAACCATTCGCGAACCATCCACTCCCCCAGCCTCCTGCTGTTGAACCAGACTCGTTATCGTATTTCATGCGACGAAACGGTGGAAATTGCACGCGGCATAAGATCCCGTGACATTCTCTATTGCCTATTATTGTGGATGACACGCTTGTCGCGGTGGAAAGCGTCGAGTTTGTATAAATCAGAGGGAAAGTAGCGTGGGAGAAGTTGGAGGTTAGTTGGAGATGAAGGATTAAAAGTTGGTGGAGCTGGAAGTAAAAAGGGTGGATGAGGAGTCCTTCGTTTGTAACGTGGTTACGATTTATAGATAACACTGTGGTGCCAGTTATCGTCGATGGCACGTTTGTTAGATTGGAACGCGTTGAGATTGGATAAATTTGTGCGAAAGCAGTTAGCTAGAGATTGAGGATTGAAAGTTGGTATAGTTAGGAGTAAAAGTGGTGGAAGAAAAATTCTGCAATTTATAGAAGACACTGTCTATTGCCAATTATTGCGAATGACACGTTTCTCACATTGGAACGCGTTAAGATGGTATAATTTATGAAGAAAGTTGGTATAGTTAGGAGTAAAAGTGGTGGAAGAAAAATTCTGCAATTTATAGAAGACACTATCTATTGCCAATTATTGCGAATGACACGTTTCTCACATTGGAACGCGTTAAGATGGTGTAAATTTATGAGATCGAAGATTAATAGTTAGGAGCAAAAATCGTGGAAAAGAAATTCTGCAATTTATAGAAGACACTGTCTATTGCCAATTATTGCGAATAACACGTTTCTCACATTGGAACGCGTTAAGATGGTGTAAATTTATGAGATCGAAGATTAATAGTTTGGAGCAAAAATCGTGGAAAAGAAATTCTGCAATTTATAGAAGACACTGTCTATTGCCAATTATTGCGAATGACACGTTTGTCGTATTGGAACGCGTTGAGATTGTACAAATTCGTATAAAAATAGTGTAGAAGAAGTTGAATATTAGCTGAAGATTGAGGATCAAAATTGGTATAATTACGAGTAAAAAAAAAGACACTGTCTATTGCCAATTATTGTGGACGACACATTGGAACGCGTAGGACTCGCATAAATTAACGCAAAAGTAGCGTAGAAGAAGTTGAAAGTTAGCTGGAGACGAAGGATTAAAAGTTGGTACAGCTAGGAGTGAAAATGTTCCATTTGTAACGTTGTAACAATTTGTAGAAGGATTTAGGAAGTAGTACTTACTTCGTAGAAAGGGACGTGACAAGTTTTTTAGGATGGGCAGAGTAATCATAGATGCAGATAGAAATATTTCAAGGTGTAACTTGTTAAGCTAGATATTGGATAATGGTGATGAAACAGGGGCAACGTGATGCTGAAATCCTGTACTATAGAGTCCTTAATCTGAGGCTTTTAAATCCTCGTGTCGTAAATCTTGAAGCGCTGAGCCTTAGAACCCTGAATTCTAGCCTCCCATTAAGATACATAATCTTAAATCCGTGGTTACTACGTTCTAAGGTTCTACGTTTTGGAATTCCAAGTCTCGGGAGAGCAACATCCACCGTCTTAAATTCCAGAATTTTTCGTAGAATCGTGAAGCAGATTCCAAGGTTCCATAAAGAAGAATTTTTAATTGCAATATTCTACAATGTCACTTCATTATTTACAATAGAATTTTACTAAGAATTGTGATAAAATAGAAATTTTAGAAAGGATAGAAAATTGTAATTTAGGACCAAAATTATTTTCTCTGTCACAGATTAATATTCGATTTCGATTCGGGACCATCCAACGATTAAATTGCAATTCGAAATTCAGTAATTTCCAGGTTTACTAAATTAAAGAAACAAAGTAAAAGTACGAGAAATCGCGACTTTTGAAATAACCTGTATAAATCACCCCTCGCATCGTTGGAGCTAAGCGCGATAGCGATTCGTTGCTCGCGTTCGTCCCTGACACAACGACTTACAAACGACAGGGAATACCTGTGCTTTGCAGGCTTTCTATAGAGGCGACCTTGTAATTTAAGGTTGAAGGTAGGCCGTGGCACGGAGCCGCTCGATAAAACACCACCAGTGATAGAAGTCTCACGAGCGAGAAGAAAGGGTGCAGGAGGGGAGGAGCTTTTCCCTTCTTACGCCCGTATCTTACGCGTGTCCTCCGCCTTTATCTCTCTTCCTTTGGGAAATTTATGTATCGATTATTTTTACGATTTTCACTGTCACGCCGCCTCGATGAATGTCCAAGATGTAAATCAACGGGGATCCATTTATCCGAACGTCTGTCTCCAACTTGTTCTGCTACGCTTTCCTTTATTTCACCTTTATCTTTGCCTCTTTTTTCTTCATCGTGCATTATAAATCGTCCCTTTTCAATTTTCACCAATTATCGAGGATTCT